GCATGCGCGCGCACCGTTGCAAGCAATATTATGAAGTTGCCTAATACGGCACTGCACGCCTAACTGAGGGAGAGAGGGGATGGGAGAATGAGGAAAGGCTGCAAGGGAGATAGCTGGGGTGGAAGAAGAAGAAGGAGGCAGCCCGACGGACAGGGGAGGCAAGGGGAAGGACGCGAGGCAATAAACTAGGTGTTTTGTACCCTACATGTTAGGGCGCTCTCCTAATTATAAACGCATGTCAACTGATAAAAGTTCTTAGGAAATCTATGCTGAGATACCCACTAACCATTTTAATTGCTTATTCATNGGCGACACCGACGACGGTCACAACGACGATGATTGCGACAACGACGACGACGGTGGCAACGACGGCGGTGACAACGACGATGACGACGACAACGACGACGGTGACAACGACGATGATGGCGACAACGACGACGGTGACAACGACGATGATTGCGACAACGACGACGACGGTGGCAACGACGACGACAATGACAGCGACAACGACGACGGCGACAATGACAGCGACAACGACGACGGCGACAATGGCAGCGACAACGACGTGACGCAGCGATGACGGCGATGACGACGATGGCCAATGATCCAATATCCATAATTTATATTAGAATGTGCGGCGAGAGCAGAAATCGTGGATTTCGTCGATGGATCTAGAATAAGTCGCTTCGGTTTTTTTTACGATTTTTTTTTCGAAGATCGAATTTTTCGCCGTGATGCGCGTGTGACTTCTATTACACATAGGCTCGCCTAAGTCTCCCTCAATCTCTCTCTCTCTCTCTTTTTTTTTTCTCTCTCTCTCTCTCTCTTCTCTCTCTCGCTCTTAGCGGCCGCGCGCTCGCTCATCTTTCTTTTCTCTCTTCTCTCTCTCTCTTTCACCCTTTCTTTATCCCTCCCTTTTCCACTTCTCTCTCGCGCGCTGTCTCACCCTCTGGCACACGCGACGAGAATTTGAACGGATATAACTTTCCTAAACGATTTATTCGTATAACACAGATCGGACACCCACTTAGCGAGTAGCGTTTATCGTAAATCCATCGCACGTTCAACCGTGACATAGAATTCGTGTTGCGGAACGTCTGCACTCGTCAGCACATTGTACGAGCGCGCATCCCGTTAAATCCCCCGCATCCCTGCATCCCCATGCGCGCGTAACTCGAATCGAAGAAATCAATCGTTGTACTGTGAAGATGTCTCACTCTATTTATCTATCTTTCTCTTATTCACTTACTATCTCTCTCTCTCTCTCTCTCCCTCTCTCCTCCGCTCTCTTCTCCTTCTCCTCTCTCTCTCTCTCTCTTCCTATATATAAATAATAATATACTTACCATTACCACCATTGCCACCCTACTCACCACTCACCAACTCACATCCCATCTTCTCTTCTCTCTTTCTCTCTCTCTTCTCTCTCTCTCTCTCTCTCTCTCTCTCTCTCTTTATATATATCTATATATACTTACCCATCTACCAACCCATGCACCCTACTCACCCACTCACCAACTCACACTCCCCCATCTCTTTCTCTCTCGTCTCCGCAGGTGCGAAAGATTCTGCTCGAATGGCTTCCTCGCCTGCTGCGCATGTCGCGACCCATCGACCGCGCACACGCCAAGCAGCTGATGATCAACGCCAAGCTACGCGAGCTCGAGCTGAAAGAGAGATGCTCGCGAAGTCTGCTCGCCAATGTCCTCGACATCGACGACGACTTCAAGGTCGGCAACAACTCGTCGTCGTCGTCGCTCGGCAACAGCTGCTCGCGAGCGGCGCCGACGTCCGGCGGCGGCGGCTACGATGCCGACAACAATCTGCACGGGGTACCCGGAGGCGGAGGAGGGGTAGGCGGCTCGGGAGGAGGAGGGACGAGGAGCGAGTTGACGTATATTCTGCGGGAGATGCGCTACATCACCGACTACATGCGACAGGACGATTCGAATCGGCTGCTGTCGAACGACTGGAAGTTTGCGGCGATGGTTGTCGATCGTATTTGTCTGTGGCTGTTCACGATCTACACGGCCGTGTCGTCGATAGCCGTCGTCTCGCACGCGCCGAACCTGTTCAGCTGAGGAGTGAACTCTGCTGCTGCTGCGTGTGCGTGCACGCGCGTGTGTGCGTACGTGCGTGCCTAGCCTCTTCAATTGAGGAGCCAACCGCGTACGCACGTGTGTGTGTGCGAGTGTGCGCGCGTGCGTGCGTGCGTGCGTGCGTGCGTGCGTGCGTGCGTGCGTGCGTGAGTGCGTGCGCATGTAGTTCGGTACGCCCCCGTCTATATGATTTACCGTACGCGGCAGCACATGTTGTGAGCGCACGGACGGACGTAGTGAAGGCGAGGATGTTGGCCTCTAGGGGGCGTGCGTGGAGCGAGAGTCGGTGTCGGTGCGCATGCCTGCTTGTGCTGCAGGACTTACTTGCTGTCGTACGTCTTCCTGCGTGTGGTGTCAACACGCTCCCCGATAACATATACATGTGACCGGGTGGCGCCACCGTCAGCGCGGCTAGCGCCACCTAGTTTATCGTCGCCGCGGCCAGTGCCACCTAGTTTACCGTCGCCGTCGTCGGAACGAGACTACGAGAGAACGACAAATCGAAGACATTTTTGGTATCGAGTCTCGGACGATGTTCGCCCATTGCTCGCCACTGCACGCGCATGCGCTGATCAGCGCGATAAGTGAACATTCATATAATGTACATGTCGCTAGGAGCGTGGGTGCAGCGCTGTGCCTGAATATTGTGGGCTTAAAACTGCGGCCATCTCGTGGCGGAACGTCTGACAATCGTAAGCAGAAGACCATTCGATAGCGTTCCTCACAGCCCGTGCGGATCTATGACGTCACTGGGAGGAAGCGACGCGACTACGCTACCTCGTGGTGAAATAAGGAAACTATGGCGATTCCGCCACAACGTGGCGCGGCGTGAGAGACTTACAGTACTCACTCGTCGCTATCCGAACACGCGCATGCGCACTGCAGCCGCGACACTACGTCGCTACGTGGTAGCCGTGGTATAACCCATACCTAGGATACGACCCGTGGATGAAAGGATCGTTGGGTTTGCTGCAGGGGCGGGAGGGAGCGGGAGGGGCGGAAGGGGGAGAGAGATGGAGTAAAGTGCTGAAAAATACGGCTCCTTGTTCGTTGTGATGTCGACAGAGGGCGCTCGCTCTCTCTATGGCGCAACGTCGATCGTACTTGTACAGATAAAATAGTTCATTAGTTTCGATTGAAACAAATATCGCTCCGTTGTAAGTGTACATATAAGTATCACGCGCTTTGCTCCCGTGTATGATATTTGTACGAAATCGTAAGACAGTCAATATCGATACGACGTTCGATATCGATACAACGTTTGATATCGATACGACGTTCGATATCGATACAACGTTTGATATCGATACGACTTTCGATATCGATGCGACGTTCAATATCGATACGACGTTCGATGTCTATACGATGTTCGATATCGATACGATGTCTTGTGTATTAAATATCGTTTGATTGCGCTCTCAAATGCCAGACGGAGGCATGGAAGACATGAACATGTTACACGCGGGATTTTACGAGTTTAGTCTTGAAAGGTTTGTGCGGATATGTGTATATGAGATCATGTAGATATCGAACCTGTTGCCTATTCGACTATTGTATATGGATCACAGTTCACGTTCGTTTTTTTGGCATCGCATTTGTTAATGTTGAATCTTCCCGCTAGATGGCGGCGCTCGCCAGAACGCGTGCAATCGAGAGAGAGAGAGAGAGAGAGAGAGAGAGAGAGAGAGAGAGAGAGAGAGAGAGAGAGAGAGAGAGAGAGAGAGAGAGAGAGAGAGAGAGAGATATTTACACAAATGTTCCCGTTTTAGTATATTGCTTTTTTCGGTAGATTAATAATTATTATAAACTATAATACTTTTAACGCGTAAGCTTCCGGGACGATGTATGTACAGAATGTTACGCTAAGGTGACGTGGAGAAATCTCGAGGACACGTGGCGCTCTCGGGCGAGTGATTACCCAATTATCTCTGTAATTAAAGTTGCTTTTTTGTATAAATTGTATCGACAAACATAGATATTGCATAATAGGTAGCGAAACTACACTAGCCATCTCACTTCCTACCCGCCCTCTCCTTTTTCCCCCCGGTATCTCCTCCCCTATCTCCCGCCCCTCCGTCGCTCTCCCCCTCTCCCCATCTCGTACCCTCTTGTCTAACCTCTCCCTGTCTCTCCTCCCCCATCCCGCCCACCCTCCCCTCTCTCTCTCCCTCCCTCTCTCTTTCCGCTTGCTTTCGCTTTCTCCCTCCCCCTTCTCTCTCTGTCGCTTATTATCTTCCATAAATTTACCGCAATAATTAACCTTCCTTTCATGTACCATTCAGGCGAACTAACTGTACAAGCCTATCTGCACTCACGTGTTATATCGTATCCGTGTTTTAGTTTCACTCTGTATATTAATCGATAATGCAAAATTTGCTTTCTGCTCGTGCGCCAACGCCCCTTCATGCGGCAAGCTGTCTCACCTGCGCAGATGTCCGTGCTTGCGACAGAGACTGTGGTGAAGACGGTGTCTATATTAGGCGCTCTTTCTCCCAGCATCTTAATTTTGTCATCTATACCGCTCACGTACACGCACCGCTGGCGTATCTATGACGCTATTATATTGTATATATATTATATATATATATACATATATATAATAATATATATATATATATAATATATATATATATACTATATATATATATTACTCTGCTCGTCGTTTCCGTGATGGCTGCTATAAATAATAATAGGACCACGCTGTGCGCAATGGCGATGGTGATCTCTACGTAACAAGATGCCATTTAAACGTTGATGAAGCTATGAGAGAAAGATTTTTGCGACGTTATTTCTTACGACGGTTGTGGGCCGTGCGCTGCGCGGGGTGGGAGTGTCTCGGTGTCTACGGTAAGTGAGTACTGGCATGTCGTGTAGGCCATGTTTAATTCGTATTTATTCCTCGTATATATTTACTATATTTCTAATTAATATATTATAATTACATACGGCTTCTGTAAAACATATAATGATATAAACCATATTTATATATATATATAACTATTACATGTAACGTATATCATATATATATCATTATATATAATACGTCGTATAGCTTGAATTTATTTCATAAGCTGTGTAAAGTAATATTGCAGGTAGGCGTGATGTTAAAGCTACTACATATACTGCGCGCGCATACTATACATAGCCTGCGCAGCTTAAATGAACTAACAATCATTACACGACAATATGTGAACATGTTTATATTTCTTTTGTATTTGCTGGTTAAAAATAATGATTTTCTGAGGTAAGTTTTGCAGATATTCTCTCTCGATATGACCCTAGTGGCTAGTATGTGCTAGTATGTGCTAGCAGTAAATGTGCTATTTGACTCTGTGTTCATCTGCTATGGTGCGGCATATATGCAGCGTAAGTCGACAACTCGAGCCGTAGTTTGTAATCGTGGAGAGAGACGTTAGTCGGGTAGTAACTTTACGTTGAACGATAGAGAGAGAATAGATATAGAGATAGAGAGAGATGTATATATAATAGAGAGGAGAATAGATACAGGATAGAGCGATAAAGAGATAGATAGATAGAGAGAGAGAGCCGTACAGAGTGAGAGAGGGATAGAGAGAATAGATAGATAGAGATAGAGCGATATGGAGATAGATAGATAGAGATAGAGCGATATGGAGATAGATAGATAGAGATAGAGACGGAGAGAGTGAGAGAAAGAGAGAGCCGGAAAAAGTGAGAGAAAGAGAGAGAGAGAGAGGCGAGATATGGAGAGATAGAAAGTTAGCAACAGAGGGGCGAGGCAGCAAGAGAGTGTGTGTGTGTGTGTGTGTGTGTGTGTGTGTGTGGTGTGTGTGTGTGTGTGTGTGTGTGTGTGTGGGTGTTGGGAGGGTGAGAGAGGGAGAGGGAGAGTGAGAGAGAGAAAGAAAGAGAGAGAGAGTGGTGAGCGAATGAGAGAGAAAGAGTTAGAGAGAGAGAGAGAGAGATAGACGCGCTCTCCAATGGAGGCTGCAACGTCAGAACGGGACCATTGTGATGGGCACATGTTTCCATGACCAAAGTATGGTCGTGACGTCATTTAGCGTCAGTGTGACGTCAGTGGCTATCTACCACCATAGACCAATCACGCACGCAATCATGTATGCATGACACATCCATAATACATTATTCCATTAACACTGATAGCTGAGCTCGACTGTACGCCGTCGGGTGTTTCTGAAGGTCGTTGATTGGAATCCCGAATCTGTTTATTGTTTTATATATTTGTTATATTTTTTTTATTTATTTGCAATTTTTTATTACATTTTTTTTATATTTAATTAAATTTATTAGTGTTAATTAAATTTAATTAGGGTTAGGGTTAGGCTTAGGGTTAGGGTTAGGGAGTAGGGCGTAGCACGCAACCACCAGCACCGTCAACAGGCTGTACTGCCATTCACTTCGGAGTAGCCGAGTTCGTGCGTGACGTCAGTGTACGTCACGACCATACTTTGGTTCATGGAAACATATGCCGACGACGTAGTGTACGTCTCTAGCGCCACCTGCTGAGAAAATCTGGCAGAACTATAAGGAATTTGTCGCTAGAAAACTGCCCGTCTGACAAATACGTGCTATATATATACAGTCAGGGAAGCTCGCACCTTCCCACTGCTCTCTAGCTGCTGGTGGCTTGTCCGCCTTGCTAGCTGTCCATGTAGGGTGTAGTGGAGCTCAGTCAGAAGTCTACGCAAGGACACACAACGCAAGACGAGAATCACGCCGCTTGCTGCCTCCTTCCTGACTCCAGGACACACAACGCAAGACGAGAAACACGCAGCTTGGTGAGCGTTAGCAAAGAAGCTCTCTCCCTCCCACTGATCTCTAGCTGCTGGTGGCTTGCCCGCCCTGCTAGCTGATCATGTAGGGGGTAGCCGATTAGCTAAGCACTGCTCATTACTGCAGCCTTCAGGCCTTCAGCACAAAGTATCGTATGATAACGGGGTGTATTTTATCTGCCGCGGGCCTTATGGCCAGTGGTTAGTAAACAA